GATCAATTTTTATGCACTTTGATTCACTGGACATCTCTTTTTAAATTGGAGCCAAAATGATAATTGGGAAAATGCATTTATTCGCTCTGAGCTGGAAGACAGATCTATACCACTCTTCTGTTTGTTTACAACCAGCAGCTGGTGGTTTTCAGTTCAAATGAGGCAATTTTTATTTTTGTACTTAGCTGTGTGAGTTGTTATTTTTTCCGCTACTTTTTGTAAATTTTAATTATTTCTGCCTACAAAAAGTAAGGCTATCACTGCGAATCTGCCTTTCACCTTCCCTGATTAGAATGGTTGACACTAACTTGCAGTGACGGTCAAGGCCCAATGTCATTTTCTCTTCAGTGGAAAAATAATCTGCTGAAAACCTTAAATGCATTTTTATCTAATGCGCTGTCCTGTAATCAGGTTATGGTAGAATTTAACTTCATTTTCAAGGGCAAATTGACAGAAAGACGCATGCAAAGCCTAATGAAGTCTGCCGACCCACCTACCAGGACCTATTAAGCTGACTAAAGAACTCATATCTTTCTTAATCACTTTATAAAAATATTTAAAAAGTGCAAGCTTTTCAATGAGTTCTGCGCCAGCTTCCCTTGTTCTCTGGATTCATATTTACTTTGCAGATATGACAGTGCTATCAGTCTTCTTATCTAATACTCAGCAAGACATCAAATAAGCCCCTTTCCCTAAAATGTCAAACTGATGTTTAAAAGGTTAAGAAGCTCATAGCATGCCTAGATTATAAATCTAGGCATTGGCCCTTCACTGGCTGGTCCCATCTATAAACATGAATGTGCAGAATTATGGGAAAAAGTAAGAGTAACTCGGCTGGAATTACAGATGTTTATTAACTGGGATCAACAGAGGAAACTGGTGTTTGCATGTGTCATGATGAATCTGTGCACTCAGCCGTCAAGGATTAGTTGTTTCGACTGAATCAATTCTGTGAATAATGACCACTTAAAACTTTCTTTCCAACCCTAATTTAATTATTTGCAATGTGTCATTGGTCTGTATAGGTTGTCAGTCATCCACATTATGGCTTAAAAAGAAGGCAGCTGGATTGTTTCATCTCTAACCCAAGAGGCTTCTTCAGCTTTAAAACTGGAGAGTGCCAGCTTTGGAAGTGGCCTAATGGCTCGTTGACCCACTATTGATTACGTGATTACGTGAGCGATTAAGGGTCACACGAGCCCAGGGTTTGTGGGTCATTACCATCACAGCGACTGAGGTTTGAATGATCTGTGCAGACAGGTGGACCACAGATGCACAGCACCCAACGCTCAACGGGACAAGAAAGGACACGCTTGATGGTTTTGCTTTTTATATGTCCCTTCCTTTTCTCCTCTTTCAACTCCTCCATTCCTATGCCCTCACTATAATATGTGCAGTTTGGAGGGATTATGTGACAAATTAACAGACTATCGAAGAAATTGCACTTAAGTTTTGGTGAGTGTAATTCTAGTGTTTTATTCATCACTAATATGCAGATATGTGTGCCTGTTTGATGCAGTATCGCAGCCTCGATAAAGAAGCTTGAAAATTTTGTCAATTCTTTCTCCAACAAAAGCCAACATGACAGCAGCCAAAATGTTAGAACAGAAGCAATTTTATTATAGTTATTTTACAGTTTTCCATTGGTGATATTTTTTGTTTCCTCAACAAATTCCATAAAGTCTGTTTCTGTAGCGTCCTTTTAGATGTGCCTATTTTTGTCTCTCAACCACAAACCTCTTCCCTCTTACTGAAAAGTTTCATCATCACTAAGAGGAAATCTGAAAATGGATTACTAATTTATACCTTCAGTAACAAAAAAAGAAAAAAAGAAACACCCATTGACCCATTTTCAGCCACATTTATCAGATGACCTTGTGTGATGGACAAATACAGGAGCAGATTTAATCACTGAAGTAAGTGGGTCCAGTTGTTTGGAGGATTATGGCTATAGAGGCAGTAAATTGGTAAATTTATGATTCACTTTTTAGACAACATTAAACTGTATGATACATAAAGATTTATCTCCCAGGGTAACTTTTCTTTTTCCTTCCTTTTTAAACCTTTCCATTACCTTTGGATCTATGCAACCTTGAGGATGTCTTGTAACACATTCACTTTTTGTACATCCAGCTTCAGCTTTGTAACATTCAGGTTCTCTACTTGATGATGAATGTGCCTCTCCTGCACCTCCATCTTCTCTGTAGTCTAGCGGGAGGGACACGAATGCAAGGTAGCACAGGGTAGGCTAACAGTACAATGGAAGTAGTGCTAATGAGTTATTGACAGACGGGATTTTAGCACAAATCTGAATGAGAGAGCTATTTGCGAAATGTTATTCCTCCGTTTTGTGCACTTATATACACTCAGTGCTCCTCAGATGCATTCTCTGCACACGGGCCAGTCCAGTCTATTTATGTAGACTTCATACATTGGGTACATTTGCATTTCGCAGACTCTTGTGAAGCCTGCATTTCAGTTTCATGCAGCATGGCATATTAAGAAAGCAGGTGCACACTGTCTGACTTCAGCAGTGTGATTTGTATTCTACACTCGTAACTCCGGTTTTCTTTCCATTTTCATAATATGTCATCATTATCTTTTCTACCTCTGGATATGGCTTTAGGGAGCTGGAAGCTCTAATAGCTAATATCCCTGTTTAAATTTAGGATTTTGCAATACAGAGGACTTTTGTAGAAAATTGAATGACTTTTCTTTGATATTTTTGAAATATTCAGGGCATAGAAAGCAGAAACTCTTTGGCTAACAGTCCCAGAGGCACACCTAAACTTTCATGTTGATGTTCTATTGCGTTTTTTTCCTCCCACACCCGATAAAACTTGTCCTCCTCTTCACCTCTGGCTCTCTGGTTCCTTTTCCTTCAGTGTGACTCACTGTACTGCATGGCAAAAACATTGCTGGAGGTTAGAGGATTTTAGCGTGATGGGTGTACCGTGAAAGTGATTATGTGTCCACAGTGTTATTTTGCACACACAATCAGCTTTCTGGATGAACACCAAGAACACTTCATTCAGCCAGAGGAAGAAAAACAAAAACAAAACTGAACCTAACAGGAATCCCAGAGGATAAATTTACTCTCCTAATCACACAAGTTGAACTCATAGTGGGCTGGGACCTCCACTGGACTGAATGCACTGATTCAACCTGTGTTCACTACCTAAAATAAACAATCCAGAGGTTTCAAGTTGTCTCTTGTTAGACAATCTCATATGTACTCATCAGGCTTTTATGTTATTACTATTTTACACTTTTATCATCCGTTTCTTTACATGACGTCTTCTTCGTGACTTCTTTTCTGTTCCACTCACCCCCAATCAGTCATGGCAGATGGTTGCCCCTCCCTGAGGCTGGTTCTGCTAGATGTATCTGTTAAAGTGGAGTTTTTCCTTTCCACTGTCACCAAGTGCTAGCTTATAGCAGGCTGTCTGATTGTTGAGTTTTTCCCTCTAAGGTTGCAGGTTCTTCACCTTGCAATATAAAGCGCTTTGAGTGGTGTTATATAAATAAAACTGAATTTGAGTGAATTTTGCTTCTTGGTTACTTTAATAATAAATTTGTGCATAAATATGTGTTTGGTTTAATAAAGGCCATCCATCCATCCTCTTAACCACTTATCCTGTTAACCCGTAGGCTTGCAGGGGGACTACGTTACTGGTTAACCAAACATGTCTTTGAACTGTGGTGGAAAGTGACAGTACCTGAAACAAATGGATGAGTCACATGGAAGAAGTACACCTCTACCTTTATCACACCTTCAAACACATAAAGGTATAATCAGTGCCCCAGATTATGTTCTGCTGATTAGAATATCCTTAAGTAGTGACAGGTGGGACCTGTTTAATTTAAACCTCACACACTGATATGGTGTTCTTTTTGTTGTTAAAATGTGTAGAGCGTGATCATGTCATGATATGGAAAGCTCTTCCCTTAGCCTCTTAAAAAAGATTGTAGATGGCTATAAGCTTGGCAGTGATTTTTGAAAAAATGAATTTAGGAAAATCATCTACAGCTGGCATAGATTTCAAACCACAGCCGGTTTGTCCAGTCACGGCTACCTGAGCAATTTCAGCCCCCAATTTCAGTTGTAACAAAAAAACGAAACGTGATTTTCATCTCAGGATCTGCAGGTAATTCTCGAAACTGCTGGCATCATTGTAGGTATTTAAAATCAAAAAATGATTGTACAAATCTGACCTGTATGGGAGGTGTGCCAAGCAAAAGATAAACTGCAGTTTGACAGTGAGAAAAGACCAGGCCTTCTGGAATAATGTGCTCTGGACAGACAAATCAAAGATAAGAGTTGTTTGGTGCAGACCAAAGACAGCCTCTCAGGATAAGAACCACGAGGCATCTATGAAGTATGGTCCGGAGTTGCTTTGCTGCCTCGGGGACTGGGCAGCTCATGGTCATTGATTCAGCTCTAAATTCTACATCATATTAAATTGCACTTGAATAAAATGTTAGCCCATTTGCCTGAAAAATTAAGCAGCAAGTAGGTATTTTGGAAGGATAATGATCCAAAGCACACTAGCAAGTCCACCAGGGAATGACTCAAAACGAGGAAATGGAAGGATGTGAAAACCACAAAAACTGCATGAAAACTCTTAAAGATCTTGCCTCTAAAGGAATTTTGCATGGAAGGCGGGTAAAATTTTCACTAAGCTGATGTCAGAGTCTGGATAATTATGCAAAGAAACCTGCCAGAATGTATTTTAGCTAAAGGGGGTAAAAGTAGCTTCTGGTGCCAAGGGCTTACTCTCTTATTCCACAGTAGAACATCACATGGATTGAAAAAGATATTTTTGTCTCTCGGTGTTATTCAAGTAGAGTTTTTACTAAGTATCAAAGAGGATCAAATGTTTGCTTCTCCAAGTATTTCAAACAAACCAAATACAATTTTTCCTCAAATTAATAATCACATGACCATCAGTGATTACAGTTTTCATTCACAGTGTTTGTTTTTTCATAAAGACGCCAAATCCTGCTTTCAAACTTTATTGGAAGGCTGATAAGCTTGTCGCATATCTGTGAAAATACATGCTTGAAGGAAATAAAATAACAAAAAGCACCGTTAATTTAAACAATCTTTGTGATCTGTTGATTTCCATCACATTACGTAGAGGGATTTCAGCATAAAGGCAATATTTTACAGCATATTTTAAGCATACAGCTTAGTTAACACAAGGTTACAAAATGAATGCTTATTGAACAGTTTCAGGTAAAGCCCAGCGGGAGGCAGTATAAGGCTGGCCCTTCAATCCACATATCCACTTTTTTATATATATATTTTTTTTTATCTGTCCAGAAGCGGTTCGCTCTTCACATTGTTTCAGTGCAGTGAAAGGTCATAGTGCTCACAGGACAGGAAGGCCCTCCCCCATAGGCCAGTGCTCTTCCTGTTCTCCTCTCTGAGACACCTGAGCAGCATAATGTGGCTCAGGCACTTTTTTTTTTAGATGGTGTCATCTAAATGCTCGTGCAGCCTTTCTCCTCTGTTATTGTGCCTGTACCTCCTGAAAAGAAACCAAGTGTTCAATTTAGTGCAGCAACAGTGACAAACTGTACACTGGCTCGAGTAAAAATGACAATTGTTTTGTCAGCAGACGCAGGCTGGCCTGTCACGCCTCATGTTTGCACAGTATTGTGTGGGAGGACACCGTGTCACATTTTGCTGTTTCATTCTGTACCATCACCTTTTTTTTTTTTTCCTTGTCGTTTTCTAAAGCATCCACTACCAGTGTCTTATTTTCTCGCTGCATATGGCTTTATCAACTGAGCATAGCCTGAAATGAGATTTGTGCTTGTGTCTGCCAGTGACTGTGTGCTTTACCGTACCTCCACAGCAGAAATGCGAGCACTCCTCCTAAACTCAGCAGGAGCAGGAGACAGACTACAGCTGCCGTCGCACTTCTGTTCTCGGTCTCACAAGGTGCTGTCAACCAGGAAAAAACAGCCGATGAGAGGAGGAACAAAGAAAAACAAACCCAAAGAGACAAAAAAAACAGAGGTCATCTGGCATGGCTGTTCTTAGAGGGCAAAGAGGTCCCCTGCAACAACTCCACACAGTCACTAAACTGACTGGAACACCAAGGGATAACAGGAGGCATCTAAAATACCCTGACTGTCGCTGGATCATCATGCCTCTTGGCAGATACGAGGAATTGCATTTGTCTTGCCTGTTTAGCAGCAGTGGTAGCGGCAGTGGCAGTAGTGTTGGTAGTGATTTATTGATTGCACTCTGGAAAATCCTTTATCGCTGAAACACCACCGGTGATACAATACACAGAACAGAACAGAAGCGTAATCAGGACACAGCTTCAATAGACACAATGCATTATGTACAGGAGTCCGATTCCTGAATATCCATGACACAGCACGGTGGGCTTTAAATAAAGTGTCAACAGGCGTAGCCACCTTTACATCGAACCGCCTGCTCCAGCCAAATGGGGATCAAGCATTGAGTTTTTTAATCTCATGTGGAGAAATGTGGATTTAGATCCCAAGTAAATGCAGTATGACCATGAAAAAAGTGCTGCATTACAAGTCAAAGATAACTCTGACTTAAGTCCACGAGAGTATATTTTTATATATAAACACAAAAAGTAAAGAAATTTGTATTTGGTAGATTATTTCTTGCCAATAAATCGTACACCTTGAAAAACCTGCTTATTTAAATGAAGCCATGTTTGTAAGGAAAATGCGTTTGTGGGTTGAGCAGCAGAGTTGAGTATGTGGGCTGTGTCCATTAAAAACTTTCCAATTTTTCTCTTGCCAATCACAAACAGCTCTGACAAGTTTTTCATGGCCACAACCCACATACTCAACTCTGCTGCTCAACTCTGCTGCTCAACCCACAAACGCATTTTCCTTACAAACGTGATGCCATTTAAGGGAAAGATTTGTTGCCAAGGAGCACTGTTGCAAAAAAATTAAATAAAAATCAACCAAACACAAACCTCCTTAATTTTGTGCAAAGTTTATCAAAATTATTGATAAAATCTGAGTATTACAAGCATTTTGTTGACACATAAAAAATCAAGTGGTCTACTGCAACGTGAGTCTATTGCATGATGCATTATAGATCATGTAGCATTTGTAATATCTTAAAAATGTTTTATTCACACATATGCACAGCTTGGTACTAGCCATAGATGATTTTAAATTGCTTTATGATAAATTTATGCATGTCTCAATTTGCAAGATAACAAGACAGCGATCAAATTAATGTAGAGGATTTTTAAGAGAAATGTTCAAGTAAATAGATCCATCTCAAAATTATAAAACCAACTCCAAAAAAAAGTTTCTAATTAGAATATTTTAAGAGTTCAAAAACCCAATGTTCACACTCCTTTTTAGACCTCTTATGGTCTCCTTTATCCATTTAGCTGCTAAATGCTGGATCACATTTATCAGCTTCACTCTGACTTTGTGTGTCTGTCTTTTGATGTCAGACAGGAAGAGTTCAGTGTTTTTTATGACAACAACAGCTGGAAATTAAGTCAAGAACAGTGACAGTGAACCACAAAAGCCAAGCTAAAAAATAACCCACAGACCCAAGACGTGATAATTATCAGTGGCTTCATCCCTGTGGGGGGGATATTTCCCTTTACACTTCCACTGTTAATGTCATAAGTGTTGATTAAAAAAGGTAAAGCAGTACCTGCAGTGTAGGTGGCGGAACTATGGCCGAGCTTGTTGCTAACAATGCAGGTGAAGTGGCCACAGAGTGGAGAAATGGTAATAATTAATATTGTTCCATTGTTGGAGACTTTGCCCACCGCCTTGGTGATGTCGGCACTCTCGTGGCGCCAGCTGAATCTGGGATCAGTCCCCCAGGCCTCGGTACAAACAAGCAAGGAGTGGGACACGTTAATGCTGACGGAGACGTGGTGGACTGCCTCTGGAAAGACAGACAAACAGAGGTGAAATATGGAAATATGTGACAAGTATGTAGGTAAAGAACGCAGCGCTGGATGGAAACAAGAGGATATATGAAGTGCTCAGCCGTGGGCATCTATCTGTTATAGAATAAGAATAATGGCACACGGCTGTCCAAGAGGGTCTCAGACAAAGAATCATGAGAGACATTTAATGCTGTCAGGAGAAACTGGCTCAGTTTCAGAGACAATAATGAGATCAGAGAGAGAGGCATAATGTTGGAGAATGGGATGATGGAAAACCCTGGAAGCCGAGAGAGCAGATGTAGAGAAGAGTGGAGCTGATGAATTGATACTGTTAGGGCAGACAAATGAGAGTAAAAGCACAGAAGCTACGGGGAGACTGGATTCGTCTAGAGGGACAAACGCAAAAAGAAAGACCGGGAAAGTGGAGCCTGTAGGCAAATTTAATTCCAAGTGTTACATTATTAAATGAGACATCTACCAACAGAAGAAAACAATGCTTTCTACTGTGAAATTAAAGCACATTCGTTATACTGTTGGTAATTATTGGAGTTAACACTTGAAAGGCCACAACAGAGTCAGCTGGAGAGTATTTGATGTATTCTTTCTTTCATATAATTACTCAGAGAGATTCATGTAAAGAGGCCAAGTTTTACATAAACTGCCGCAGCAACATATTCAAATAATTTAAAGCAAACAACATTTATATTCATATTTCGACTAACTGTTGGTATATTCTCCAGCAGCCCCACTATGTAGTAGGACCTTTTGTTCCCATGTCTTTACACTGGGACGTCTTAATGTTAATTTACTGCTGCTTTAGCATTTACTGCTGCCGTATTGAACCTTTAAACAAGTACCAGGTGGAGGTATGACGCATGGATGTAATTACACCATAATTTTACAATCAGTGGATATAACCATCAAAACGCTTCTAACTTAATGATTTATACTTAAAAATTCATACCCTCTCATGAGTCTCTTGTCTCTTGTTAAAGGCAAAATAATGGATTACACAGTAAAATATGTACAGTAGCTTGGTGGTAATATTCTTTCCTCAAAGTCATCAGTGTTTAATTATCTGCATTCATTACTGTGCAAAAACTTTTGTTGTGTATCATCTAGAATTAGGACTGTTGTTAATGAATATTTATTATGAGATAATCCATACACTTCTTTTTGTAGTTAACCTATTGCCTGTTATTTATAATGTTTCATTGTGCCCACCATTGTTGTCCTCAAGCTGAACAAAACCAAAGCAAGATATTTTATTTGGGCAACCCAACATGTTAGATGGGTATCTCTCTGCTAATTGGTCTTATAGCTTCTTACCACTTTGACAGTGCTTCAAAATTTGATAAACAGGTGAGCTCTGTTGCTAAACTAAGGCATCTCAGTAAGGTGAAGGCCTCTCCCGCTGCATGACTTTGAGAGAGTAATTCACACTTTTATTACCTCTCTTGTTTAAACTATTGCAATTCTTTATATGTTGACTTTGACCAGTCGTTTCATCATCGCCTCTGGGATGTGCAAAATGCAGAAGTTTGCCTTTTGACAGAACAGAAATGACGTGATCACCTATATTCTTGTTACACTTGCTCCTTACACAGACTTCGAGATCCAATTAAAATTTTTATTACATGTTTCTGAGTCTCAGTCATTTAGCACCACCTTGCTTAACTGAACTTTTGCAACCCTACAATCCTGCCAGAGCACTGACGTCTACGAAGCAACTGCTTTAAGGTGTTTCCGATTCAAGCTTAATAGCAGAGGTGATCGAGCCTTTTTAGTGGTGGCTCCTCATCTTTTGATCAACTTAGCTTACCAGCCTCTCAATCATTTTAAAATGCTGTTAAAAACCTACTTTTTCTAACTTGCTTTAGGTCTAATTGAACAGGATACCTTGGCTTTTATTATTCAAAATTGTTTTTACTCAGTTTGAACTTGTGACGCTCTCCACTTTAGAGGATGTGGTTCGCCATATTAAGCCCACAGGTTCCCCTCGGGATCCTTTTCCTCCACAATTTTTTTAAGACATTTTTCTAGTATAGGGCAGTATGTCCTTGAAATTATTAACAGCAGTCTGTCTTCTGGTGTGGTTCCTGCAAATTTCAAACATGCAGTAGTGCAGCTACTGCTTAAGAAACCTGGCCTTGATCACAGTTTTAGCGAACTATAGGCCTATTTCCAAGCTGCCTTTACTTTCCAAGGTTTTAGAGAAAATCGTTTTTAGTCAACTGAAAGATTTTCTAGATGATAATGGCATCTTTGAGGTTTTTCAGTCAGGTTTCAAAACACTTCATAGCACAGAATCTGCATTATTAAGGGTTTTTAATGACATCCTTCTGGCATGTGATTCTGGTAACCATGTTGTCCTTGTCTTGCTTGACCTAACTGCTGCTTTTGACACCGTAGACCACAATATTCTAATTTCTCGATTAAGTGATGTAGTAGGTATTGGTGGCACTGCACTCAATTGGTTTAAGTCTTCTTTGTCAGATCGAACTTTCTCTGTCAGCCTTCTCGGTTCCGAATCATCTTCTGCTCCTCTGTCATGCGGTGTCCCACAGGGCTCAATTTTAGGGCCACTACTGTTTTTACTGTATTTATTGCCTCTGGCTTCTATCCTTAGAAGGCATGGGATCGCATTTCATTGTTATGCCAAAGACTGCCAAATTTATTTGCCACTGAAGCAGAAGGGTGGCATCTCCATAAAACCTCTCATGACATGTCTAGATGACATTAGAGCTTGGTTGGCTCTAAACTTTTTAAATTTTAATGAAAAGAAAACAGAGTTGTTGGTGTTTGGACCCAGTGGTCCCTGTGAGTCCTCCTCTGTAGATTTGGGACCTCTGGAAGTTTATTTTAAACCTGTTGTTACTGATCTTGGTTTTAAGTTGGACAGTGATTTTAAATTGGACAACCAAATCAGAGCAGTGGTGAAGTCCAGTTTTTATCATTTAAGGCGACTGGCAAGAGTAAAATCTTTTCTTTCGAGGCAGCACCTTGAAACAGTGATCCATGCTTTTATTTCTTCCCGCCTGGACTACTGTAACGCACTTTATGTAGGGGTCAGACAGTCGTTGCTCTCACGTCTGCAGCTGGTTCAAAATGCTGCTGCACGACTCCTAACAGGAACTCGTAAAAGAATGCATATAACCCCTGTCCTGGCCTCACTACACTGCCTGTGTCTTTTAGAGTTTTGAAATTCTTATGTTTATTTTTAAATGCTTCACAGTCTTGCCCCGCCTGGCCTCTCTAAGCTTTTTCATCTCCACACACCCTGTCGGTCTCTCAGGTCAGCTGACCAGCTGCTCCTGGAGGTACCGAGATTGGTAGGAAGTCAACTTGAACCTGAAGTTTTATTTATAAGCTTCCAAATGACAACATCAGACACTTTAAGGTACTTAATATTGTAAGGTAAAGACTCTACATTAATAGAGAGGAAACCCCAACAACTAAACGCCCCCCTTTTAGCAAGCACTTGGCGACAGTGGGAAGGAAAAACTCCCTTCTAACAGGAAGAAACTTCCGTCAGAACCAGAGTCAGTGAGGGGTTACGCTACAACCTTTAAATGCTCATAATTTGAAATAAATGATCAACTATAGTAAATATAGAGCATCTTAACACTCGAGCAGTTGTGTATCCCTGCACTGTACCAGCAGTGTCTTTAAATTTCTCCATAACGTCTATTACAACAAGCCTTTGTGGAGTGGGGACCTGGATAAATGGACAGCATACTAAAGTGACTGTGCACATAATTTACTAACAAAAGGGGATTTATCTAAGGCTGTCACAATAAATCCTCTCACGTGCCGGTTGTCATACTGTACCGTATTCCCTGACGATGCATTGTGTGGAGGTGTTGGCTCCTTGGCGATCTGTCACAGTCAGACTGTACACGCCGCTGTCCGCTGTGGTGTATCCATTAATCTGGAGTGTCGTCTCCTGCTGCTCGGTGCTCACACGGACATTTGGCCTCGTACCAGCACACTTGAGACTCCTGCCAGAGCACGTGGCCAGTGTCACTCTCTCAATATTAAACCCCGTTTCCGGCTCGTGTTCCCAGGTTATTGTGGAGATGTCTTCCAGGTGACCACGCTTGATCTGGGCTTTCAGATCCAGGCTGGATCCGGGGATTACATACACCGGCTCTTCATTGAGGATGTGCACTGACATACAATGGAGCCCACATGGCACTGAGAACAAAGATCGCACTGTTCTTTATTACATCGTCTTCTGTGCCTCTTTCACTTACGTGACTCATACAGTGCATATTTCTACTGCGCTGGCCATGAAGACCTGCAGTATTCAATCAGACTTTTGCCTCTGGAGTGTTTGCATTGTACGAACAAAATAGAAAGCTAATGAAACAAACAATAACATAATATGTCATCGCCATCCTTCTCTGTATGCGCTTTATGAATATACTATAGCTAGTTGCTGTCAAATAATGTCAAGTTATGATTTATAATGCATGACAGCCATGCCTAATGTGATATCCATCAAACCACATCAATATCCTAAAATCTGTGTCAAAGCCTGGTAAGCCTGTGTGCATTTACCATGAGAGCTATTAATCATGTGTCTTAACTTGAAAGGCAAAGGATGGGGGAAACGTAAATAATGCAAGTGCGGTCATTAACGCAAGAGGCACTTTTGCGTAACAGTGCAACGTCTTAGGGTTGTTTTGATCATTCTTTGTGTGGCTGAGGAACAGAAACTGTGCCACTGTCTCAGCTTGAACAAAGAAAAAAGGGCAAAGCAACATAGCAATACTTTTTCCCTTCTTTGCTTTTTTTTTTCTGCCTAATGACAAAATCATTAATATGGCGGGTACAACAAAAAAGGCTTACTCAAGAGAAACAGTGGGGCAATTCTCCAGCACAGGAAATACTGTAGATCCATAACACCTGCTGATGTAGACGGAGAGTAGAGAAAGAGGAATTTGTCCATGACCTCAGCAGCGGCACACAATTTCCTCTGTACTCAGGCAGCAGGGGTGCCACTGCAGCAAGAATAATAACACCACCTCCAGAGAAAATGTGAAATTAAAATGAGAGCAAAAACAATTACAGCCAGCATGTCCTTCTATTAAAAAAATGTAAGCCAAATGTTTAGGGTATTCTTTTTTTTTCTCCCCTCTTAATTTATTTGTGAAGTATCCAAAGAACAACAGTATTGGCATTGCAGACTGCAGTAAAATCAGAAGTTGGAACAAAACCGGGACACGTCTGCTGCCAAAACTAAAATGAAGCCCCTCAAGCACAGCTGCTACAGGAAAACACAGAGAGAGAACAGAGATAACGGTGCAAGAACACAACCCAACCTGCATGCATTAAATATAACCTAGAATTCCCCTTTTTGTTTACCTTGAAGTTATCCACATCAAAACCCTCTGCAGCGGGACTCACCTACCTTTCTAAACCCGAGACAGACAGCACAGTTGAGTCAGAGGTCTTCTGCTCTGTATTGACTTTCTTAGAGGTTAAAGTGCAGCGCAGTTCACCTCAGTGAGAAGAATTATGGCCCAAAACACCGCAATACCTTTAAAGGGCTTGCCATTGTAAGAAATATTCCAGTTTGAAACAGCAGTAAAGCCAGATGTCTTCTGGAGCTTCTTCTCTTCTCTCTGGCCTTTTCCCCCTTCTCGTCATGTCCAACCCTTGTGTGTCACGTAGGCGTCATTTTCTTTTCCAACAGTCTACCTCCCACCCCACCACCACTTCCTGTACAGTCAATGCTCTTTTCTGCTTTGTGCTTTAAATAAGTTGAACTGTCTATTGTAAAACCACCCCCTTTTTATTATAAGCACCACCCTGCTCCTTTCCTGGGCCTGTGTTCTAGCATACGCTCCCTGGACAATACAGCATATTTGATTCTAGATTTTCACACAGCTGCTTCTGAGCTGTTTGTTAATAGTGATAAAAAGAAATGGCTTTCTTTGGAAGGAAATCACTGACAATGTTGAAACGCATTCTTACAAAATAGGTTTTGTACTGCAGGCTTCTTATCCGGCACGAACACTAGTTGCCCTGCAGACACAATGCATTGTTTTGGTGTTGAATTGTAAAGAGGAACTAATACACGATTTACTCTATTTTTATTTCTTCCAATAATTGTCCCTTGCTTGCAACTGAGAAACCTCTTCAAGCACGTTAAGGGGAATGCCAGCGATTTCATTCCCTGGGAAAGTTTAGCTTTGTGTTAAAATCTGATCGCCAGCTGTTTTAAAGAAAACTGCAAGCGGATACAAATGAATCCATCAAACAAGATGATTTGATATGATCGAAAGCGCCACAACAGCCTCCGAACCAGCTCTGACACGAGATTGTTTTGCCACACGTGTCTCTTACACCACTAGAGCACTGAAGCATAATGACATCACTTATTCAGAGGTTAGTGCCACAGTTTCTCACTTTGGGGAGCACATCCTGGGGCACGGATATAATGAGCGATTTAAAAATGATTATAAAACCATTTGTATTTGCAAAGGATTTACGAATAATCATGGGAATCACAGCTGTGGCCCCCACTGAGTCTACAGAAAAGTGCTGTTAGTTGGAATTAACCAGTGGGTGGCACTAATACAACAGCTGAAAAATATCAACACTGTTAGCCCTCATATCAGCTTTTTTTTTTCTTTTTTTCCTTCTTCTTCCTCAGCAGACATCATCTATAAGCTTCTGGCTCCATATGCAAATGAATTACTTGCTGGGGTTGTTTCAGTTTGCTAATGTGTTACTGCACAAGCGAGCAGCTGAATCAAAGACTCAAATGTGTAAAGATGGTGCAATTATATGATTTTATCTGGTGCTCTAGGGGATCATGTCTTCTTCTTTCGACTGCTCCCTATAGGGGTCGCCACATCTCCTATCTCACCCTCTCTCCCTTACATTCTCCTCTGTCAACCCGTTGCACTACATCCACAAATCTCCCCTGTGGTTTAATTTTTTTTCAATTGCCTGGCAGCTCCATATTCAATATCCTTTCCCTGGTAGCCCTCCTCTGCACATGTCTAAAGCATCTCAGTCTTGCATCTTAACCACTGTGCTGACCTGAGATCACCTACCGGAAGAAAAATGCCCACTCACATCCTGGGCCATCTGACCTCAGGAATTCGCATGATAAGGTGGGGCCAGGTTTCACAATGAACACACCCGAAACTCTGGCTGATTGGGACCCACGCCCAGTTTCCCACCTTGGCTCAGGCGATTAGAGGATCATCAGGGGGTCCTTTTGTCCCTCTGTGGGGGGTCACTCCCACTAGGTTTATATCTGGGACTCTCCACCATTTGACCTTAGAACTGAAGAAGCTTCTCGGATGAGAGGTGAAACGTCTTCATGCAACTTAAAGAAGTCCAGACGCTTTTCTTTGCAAGCTCCTTTGACGATGAATGATGAATGTGAAAGGAATCGACTTTCTCCAAATGCTGTCGCTGCAATGCAACAGCTGTTACTTCAAAGTTATTTCCCACCCACTGACCGTTCTACCGCAAACAAATGACTGCGTCCTCTTTAAGAAAACAGGCGTGTCCGTCACAGGTATGAACAGAAATGTAGGAAGTAGCCGACAAGTGTTTTCGTCCTTACAGCACAAAACTAATATGTGGACAAAGGGGCTATACAGAGGTAAGCCTATTATAATATAACCTATACTACATGCTATATTTAAGATGTTTATGTTTGTTTGTTTATTAATCAGATGTAAACCGAACTAGATGTATAGCCAGCCAGCACAGTAACAATATGATAAAATTTCCACACAGCATTTATTGGAAGAAATATCCACACCTATCCCAGCTACCGGAGAGAATATCTTTAGGGATTTTTAAAAATATCCACACATGCATACATTTATTGTGTGCATATATATATATATATAGCTTGTATAGTGAAGGTTTTAATGTTTTAATCTCCCAACAGACTGGCCTGACTGACGACATGAGACAACCTTTGCTCCTTATCAGCTTGTCGCTGGCAGGTAAAACAATTTGCACTGACAGTCACCTCTCCTCATGTCCCGAGTGCAAGGTTCAAACAGCTCACAAAAGTCTGTAAAGTCCAAAGAGTTTCGACTGAGTCTGTGCTGAGAGTGGAGGGAAAACAAGGCTGGGGAAAAGACGCCGTGGTATTCCAGGCACGTTTTAAAACAACTGCATTTCAAGCAGAAAGCTCGCCTTTAACCGCTCTTAAACCTGCGCGGCTGCATTCCCGTCGGTGCGCCGACTGAGTGACGTGATGCCTTCAGGGCCTGCTTACAGGCTCAAACATCTGAGCTTTCATCTCGTGATTCAGAACGAAGAGTGTCTTTTTTTTTTCTTTTAATGGGAAGGGCGAGTCTACAGGTTTTGAAAACAATAATATGAACAATAGGACTACTAGTAGCATCGATACCTGGCTATTGTTTTGAAAACATGACATAAAAAAGCAAACGCCTGCATAAGTCCCAAGAAAGGCGAAGTTTGCTCTTGTTTCAGTTATTTTTATTTAAAAAAAAACAAAACAAAAAACTACATTTCCTTTTTTCTGTTTTTCTTGTTGTTTTGTTTGTTTTAGATCTACTGTATTTTAAGAAAAAGAGAGAGAGAGGGAGTGATTCTATGTATTTGTGAAATGTTTTTAAAGATTTATGAGTTCAGCAGGAACAAGTGAGCTCAGAAAAGGTTCAGAGGCAGAATAACACGATTTTTCTTCGCGGGGTTTGTTGATAGTAGCAAAAAAATATAAAATAATGCCAGCCGCACTTAGCGCCTTGTGTTTCCTGTTTGTGAAAACCTTTTGCTCAAAAACAAAAAAGATCAGGCAACAAGCTTCTGAAAGCGAATTAGCGCCAGGAATGTAAATTATATTTTAATTTGTTCATTAACTAAGGGCTGTTCTTCATGCATGAGAGATAATTATTAAAGTAATAATCATCAACATTTTCATATGATTAAATATTCATTTTGCTGCTATCGGCAGCTGCTTCTACACAGTTCTCATTCAACCTACACTGCTCATGAAAGCACTTCTCCAGTTCTTGTGCCTGCGGTTTGGTGGATGTGTTTCTGATAAATTCTTTGGTAAACAAGAAGCTGTTTAGTTTACATCTCCAGAAATGTTGTTCAGCTGAAAGTGACTTAACGAGAAGGACTGTCAAAAGAAACCGCCACACCCACTGGAGCAACCCACAGATTTAAAGTCCAGCCTCTTTGGGTGCAAGTTTGCAGGTGAAAGTTTCATCATCACTCCGCTTTTGCTGCAATTGGCATGGCCTCTGGACTCTTTGCTGCAGTTCATTTCAGATCCATGTATCCAACTAAATCACTTTAATAGTGATTTATTAGACAGGCTTTACTTATTAAAGTCTAACTCTTAATGATGTCATAAATGCATCTTATTTTAGGTGCCCTTGTAAAAACGGCCTTGTAAAATCATTCCAACCGCACATGAAAGCATCAGCTCTGGGCTGCTTCACTCGTTATCATTTCTCACTTCTGACTCATTAGCCTTTATTCTGACTTTTTTTTTTTTTTAAGAAGACAACAAACCTAAAAGCCTAAAACACTTTTGTTGTCTTTAAGAAATCAGTGGGGAAACCTGAATACAGGCCATTTCACTGGTGTCATTTTATTCTCTGCTCTCCTGTGAAAATCGTATAAAGGCAGTCCAGCGAGACTGATCAGGACCATATTGATTTATTCACTATAAATCACTGGCTGGTGTGTTGTCGCATAGAAGCTTTATATGCCAGTAAAAAAAGGCATTGAAAATTCAGCAGGGCTTTTCCAGCTTCAATCTGCAATACTAACACAAAACACACACAGAGAGGAATGGTAGCTAAAGACAAAAGCACATATTTCCTTCTTTATTCCCATGCAGATTTCAAATTGACAAACATGCAAACAGCAGAAGAACTTAAATTCAGTTTTTCTTTGGAACGTAGTTGCTTAAAAAAATCGCTTATGCACCACTGATTTTGTGAAGAGAGACAGCAAATATGATTATGACATGGCTTACAATAAGTCAGGCTAACAAAAACACAAAATAGATGTTTAGTTTGGGATCACTTACAATCCAAAAATCATGGTGTGAAATCGATGAGGAAGGAAAGAGTGTGTACCTTACTAATGGGTTTTTACCCCCTGAGCCCACTGTGTGTATCTATAGATTTTCTCCTCTGCAGTGGTGAAAGATGTACTCAGATCCTTGGAGTAAAACTACAAATTTAAGAATACTATGCTATTAGAAGTATTCCAAAACCCTATATAAGTGAAAATGCAGATGCTTTCTTTTCATTCTCAAAAACATGTAGGTGCATCTCTGTAACCTAAACATTTTTGTAAATACCATTTTTTTCCCCAGTTTTCATTATTATTATTTTAATTTAGAAATGTTACCGTTTTATTCCATTCTGCTCCCAAAACAAAAATGCTCAGAGATGTGTCCCACACCTTTCCCCTTCTTATTCACCAATCTGCATTATTATATCGCGGACACACACCAGACACTATGCTAGTGCTTGCCTTAATTCTTCAGATTCAGCAAGCTGCTGGAAACATTCCTCAAAGATTTTGGTCCATATTGATATGATCACAAAGTTGCAGCAGATTTGTTGGTTGCACATCCGTGATGCAAATTTCCTGATCTGCTGCAGAGGTGCTCTGTTAAATTGAGATCTGGTTATTTTAATACAGGGAACAAACTATTGCCAGTCTTGGCAGCCGGGGGTCAGTCTGGCTGCCAATCATCTATTCTTGGAGATGATTTGAGATGATTTGTGCTTTTCGACATGTTAACCTCATCATAAAACGGGTACACTAGCAGCAATACTCAGGTCGGCTTTGACTCAGTTGGTGCTAAGGAGTCCCCGCATTACTACACAAACATCACCA